TATATATATATATATATATATATATATATATATATGTATGTATGTATGTTATTGTATATGTATTTGTATATGTATTAAATTTCACGAGATTAATAATTACTACAAAAAATAATTTCTATTTACCAACAAATCACTTGTCACATATCGCGATTTTGTCATGAATGAAGATAATCTTGAACAGCTGAAACTTCCATGCGACTAATTTATGACGTTTGATGCACCAATTATGATTAAACTAATTTCGCTTGTTACATTTACCATTTGAAGCGTATCACGGAAATACAGTTCAATTAATCAACACAAATATATTAACAACTAATACAGGTAAAACATTGAATAATATCTTCAATTGTTTAACATAGATTTTAATAATTCAACTTTTCAAATATTTTACGTTTTACATTATAATTATAAATTATAAGTTATTTAGAAAAAGAGAAAATACATAAATATTATTTCGGATAAACAATATATTATCTCAACTTAAACACAATTTTAATAAAGTTAACAAATTATCCAAATTTTTATTTTTTCATATAAGTAAAGAAAAAATAAATATAAAATTTGTCGATATTAGAAAAAAATGTCATTATTCAATTACCAAAATTATAAATAAAAATGTCTTTGATCGATCTGAAAACATCAAAAGACTTTTAAAATACGCAACGTAAAATGTCATAATGGAAATCGAAGATGCATGATCGATAGTTGAACGATCAGATGAGGGAAACAAGATTTTGCTATCAACCGTCGAGGGACAAAAAGAGGTGAAAAACGAGAGAGCGAAGTAACGAATATGAATGTCGTTAGCAAGAAAATCCGGCTATTCATTCGCGTCTCGTACTTGGTTGGGAATTTGAATTACCCGTACGAGACTAAATTTCCTCCTCTTCTAGGCATCGTAACTTGCCGATGGGCGGCCCGCGTGCCGTATTTCAAGTTGATGTCACCGCACGCACCGATACACAAGTGGAAACGTGAATTTACGATGGATCGTGTACATGCGCTCGACAACGACGAAGGATCGATCAACACTATGCTCTCACCTACGGTCCCTGTTAGTCTACTCCACCACGAATGTCTAATTACTTTTGCGCTGCTAACTGGGTCAATGATATTTTATTTCGGATAATCGCAGTCCGCAGAAAAGATGACCTTCTTTTACCGCGCGATGACTTGGTTCATCGTAACACAACACACCAAAAATCATACATTTCAACAATGTTCACACAAATACGCTGCAATTCGTTCTAACTTGTCTCACGCGAACACTTTACGTTATTTTCTTCCGCCGTTGCGATTCTTGAACGCCACTACATAAATATACACGTACGTTAAGTTTATGGCGCGCTTCGCTATTCCACAAATACACGTATTGCGATTTTTCAAAGAGATTAATGGATTAATCGAAAAATAAATGAATAAAATTTTCGACAAATTTGATTGACCGTTTAAAAAATCGTGATTCGTAAAGAAATTCAATTTTTATCAAATTTTGACGATTTAACAACAATTTTTCCGTTCTCGAAAGTAATTGTTGCAAGTATCCCCATCAAGAATGAGTTACGCAGTTATTTAAATCTCCCTCATACAAAAATAATAGTTATATACTAACAAGTTATATACTATCAAACACAAAATTCTAAATGTTCCCTTGTCATAAGTTGTATTTGTACATTTTTAGAGAAAATGAATGGTAAGTGACAAAAAAATAATGTTAATACCGTGAAAAAAATCAGCGAAAGTTCGATGTAAGTACGAATGTCAGCGATGCTTGACAATTTAACACTGACCTAACCTCGCGCGCTGCAGGCCACGCCGGTTGTTGAAGCAGCTCCCGAAACCACTGCACACCCGCACGCACTGCACCCACGACTGAACAACGGGGGGTATCCAAGTCTCGGAGTCTCTCGTTCTAGGGTTCGAGGATTTTGCCCGATCGGCGGCGCCACTAGGCATGCACACGTACCAAGAGAATCGCGGAAGCGTAACAGGAGAACACCAAGAACCAGAGAAAGAGAAAGAGAGAAATGGAAAAGGACAACGAAGACTCGGGCAGGAATCTGGACCAATCTTGCGCGCGCATAAACGATCCCTCTATGCATGTACGCAAAACGAGATATGTATTGGTACAATATACGATAGTCTGCAAGGTGTGATCTCGAAAAAAGGTGTCGATGCTCCGCCCACGAAAGGCTTCGTTGTTGAAAGGATTAGGCTTTTTCTTTGATCTATAGAAACGACACAAGTAATTGAATCACTAATAAGTGAAGAATAAGGAAGAGATAATGGGATTTAGTTTTCGCACATATTCTGTTATTAGAAGCAAGAATTCAAATCTTATTAGGATTAGAATAAGTGCGTTTCTTCATTTTAAATGATTCTAATAGATAGATGGTTTCAAAAACAAGATTTATATTTTCGCTTAGATAAGTAAATAAGTTTCAATATTAATAACTGATTTTTTATTATTTAATTTGTTATATACGATTATTTAATTAAGAATATTTTTTTGTATGATCAAAAATAAAAAAATACCTATCTTTTATTTTAAAAATAAAATTTTAAATAAATTAAGATTTTAAATGATAAAAGAAATAATAAATTATAAAATATTAAAATATCTACCGAGTAACAAATTGAAACAATACAAAAACAACTGAATATCTTGAACAAATTCCTCAAAAGTTATAATATAAAGACATAATTATAGTTTTATATTTTTTGATCTAATTTTTTATCTTGGAATCTAAAAAACTAATCTAGGTACTCGCCAATTACCTTTTATTTTCTTGTATTAATAACAAAGTTATATAAGTAACTTTAGTTTCGTATATTTTATAAAACTTGAAATAATTTTTTAAAACTTGAATCGCATTATCTATAAAAAATTGTTTTATATAAATAAATAAGATTTAGATGTTTTTAAAAGAAATAAAAAAAAAATTCGGAATAATCATTTGCTTAAATATAAATTCTTATAAAAAAGCATAGATTACATTTTTAAAGAAAAAAAAACTTTGAAAAAAACAAAAAAACTTTAAAATTAAAAATTTTCAGCTTCAAAATAATAATATGCCGCCAAGCCGACAAATTAAGGTGAATAGAAAGAAATAAGCAACAAAGTAAGAGTAGTTCATGAAGTGAGAGAAAACTCTAGAAGAGAAAATAGCAAGGAAGGGTCGTTCCAATTCAGCGCAGCTCATTTATCATTGAACCTCGAATGCCAATCTCCTTCTCCGCGAATCGAGAAATAGAAAAAAAGAGGGTAAGCATAAAATGAAGGGTGGAAAGACTTGGGAAGTTCGACCGAATTATTTGTCAAGTATTAAAGTTCTTTTAATTCATCCGGCGGCTATTGTACTTCGAAACTGCAGAATAGGCCTGGTTTGACCTGAAAATCGATGAGTTCAAATTCGTAAATCAATCTGCAGCTTTTAATTGGGTTGGAACAATTAGAGTTTATTTCATTTCAAGCGTCGTTTCATAATTGATAAAAATAGAATAATTTTCTTTTAGATCTTCTTATTCTTATTTTCTATTTCTTATTTTTTATCTTTATGTTTCTATATTTCTATTAAATACTATATATACAAAATTTAAGATATCCCATTATTATATATATGTAATTTTTGTTACATACAATAAAAATATTAAGATTGTTTTATATATATATATATATATATATATTATATACTGTTGTAATGTAATAAAAATACTATAAAAATGTTGATAATTCTATTATATTCTATAAAAATGTGACTAAGTGATAACATAATAAAGAAATTTTTATATTTTTATTTATTTTAAAATAGAAATAATTCAGATATATTAAATAATTTCAAAAAATTTAAAACACACAAACTATCATTATATGCATTTTTCATTATTCGAAAATTCAAGTGATTATGGATTGATAAACATATTGCTTTTAATGTGAGCGGATATTGAAGAAAACTTGGCAAATTACCAATAATCCTTGAATCATTGTTATCGACAACATTGTTATTCTACATTTTGCAATTTAACTCAAAAATGAATTAAATTATGCTATCAATTCAAAATGATTTGATTTAAATATTAAATGTCGTAAAATTATTTATTATTTTATTATTTATTTTATTATTTATTTTAATTGGTTCCATCATAATGATGAATAAGATTTATAAACAGAGAAATTTAAAGAAAAAATCTTATAAATTTAAGTTAATTTAATTTTCTTAAATCTTTAAAAATATTTATGTAATTTAATTGATTGCATCTATTTATTAGACTTATTAGATTTAATTAAATAAACAATCAATATAAAATTGCTTATCAAAAAATAAAATTAATTCTAAAATTATTCATACTCAAAAAAAATACCTAAAAAATTCATACTCATTATAATACTCAAAAATTTTAACTTCATTAAATTTTTTTCTATCTTATAATTCGAATAATAAATTAAATTGTTCAGATCAATTTGCCATATAGATATAACTTAATCTAACCAAAAGTTAAACTTCTGTCAGTGAAATACATAACATGCATTTGTAATTAATAGTTAGTCCTATGTTCACAGAAACCACTAGATACTTCGACCAAATATACGAACCAAAATCTGTCTGAGTGTGATATGCATTATTTTCTAAACTCTATTCTCAAAGTTACATTTGTTATGTGAATGAACAGATATATACATATACAAAATTTGAAGATTAAAAGATTAAAATAATTGGAATATAATAAAAAGATATTTGAAGCTTTACTAAATTGAATATAAAATATGTTAGGAATAATTATAAATTATGTGATTTTACTAAAATTAATACTAAAATTTTAAAAATATTTAAGAAGATAATACATTTTATTATTATAATATATCTAATATAATATATCTTAATATATCTTAATTGTAATAAACAATTGTAATGTAATTTTAATATAAATATCCTAATCTAACATAACTTAACCTAACTTAATTAAAAAATATATCTTAATTCAATAATTTTCACGTGTTTAATAATAATAAATATAATGATATAAATAATAGCGATAAATAAATATAAAAATATAAATAAATATAAAAATAAATAATTTTCAATTTTAATTATTCTTCAGGTATAAAACATTAAAAAAA